CATAACAATAAATTCAATATCTTCAATCTAAGCTTCAAATAACATAATTATCTAACATCCATGACCCAAGAATACTAAAGCTTTTAGCTACTCATAATCATACAAAAATCAACAATAAAAGTTTTAAACATAATATTAACAAGCAACAAGAAGAAAGTTTGAAAGAACTCTTTAAACTCTTGATCCAAAATGATGTTTGTCCTTCTCTTTCTTAGCTCCAAGCTTGATCTTCAATGGCTTTTCTCTCAAGGATGAATAGTATTTTTGCACTTACTCCCCTCAAAATCTGATTATCATCCATAATGGAACTTTTACTTTATGGTTGTTTAGTGGATTATTCCCAAATTGACCAATTTACCCCTCAATAATTGCTTTTCCGGACAGGACTAGCGCGGAAGCGCATGACCAGTGCACATCCCGCGCATATCGAGTTTTTTTCTGTCCAAATCACTAAACTAGCGCTGGAGCGCATGACCCGCGCTAGTGGAGTTTTCTCTTGTTAAGATGTTGCTGCTCAACTTTTCGTCATTTGACTCATCCTCATTTGTTTATTGAACTCCTGTGAGACATTAAAGTCATGATTATAGCCAATCTTTGCATTATTTGAACATTTACAAGTAAACCATCCTTAAGTTGAGCTAAAACATAGGCTATATTAAACAATTTAGCCTATTATCAGAGGTGTGATTCTTGGTTTCGATGTTATTTTATGTGTTCCTAGACTTCGAGTAAGTACATAGTATGTTTATAGACTTATTTGTATATTTAGACGGGGTCCCGGGCGGCTCGCGTGAGTTTCAGACCACCCGGAGCAAGGTTGAAGTTGGTAGATTTTTGTTGGTGTCTGTGTGAGTTGCAATCGCGGAAATGGTCTCGCGATTGCGGAGAGTTGTGAGGGGCTGAGGAGGTTTTGTGCTTTGCAATCACTGGGTAAATATCGCCATTGCGGTTGGCCTAGCAGTTTTTCGTATTCGCTTGGCCAAGGTTGCAAATGCGATGAGTTAGGGGCGAGGGCCAAGAGAGCTAGCTGGTATACGTGATCACGTGAGTGATTCTGTAAACGTAGAAGAGGAANGGGACTCAGCGTGGAATATGATTCAACTCCTCAGAGTGGAAAGAACAGTTGAGGGACTAGGTCCCAGAGACTGTACGAAGTCAAATCTACACTTGGAAAGTTGCTGCCTGGACATGCTATTGTGTAGAACAATGCTGCAGTCAACTTTCCAGAAAAGACTTCTTACCCACATTGCTTGCATCATTGGAAGTGATGTCACACATGTATATATGCATTTAGGGAGGTAAAACAAAGCACTTGAACACTTAAAGATTACACACAAGCTCACTCACGTGACTATTTAGCCAGTATGTTTCAAGTGCCTCAAGAACAAAGCAACTATGGACCAGTTCCCACATCGAGTTATTGTGTGTCCTTAGTTGAGTTATAACTTTATAATAGTTTTTCAAATTGTCATTCCTATCCAGCTTATTCAGAAGCACTCTATAGGAACATCTTTGTAAACCTTAAACCTGCGTGTTTAAGTCTTGGTTAGAGCTAGTCAAGTTTTAAAGTCTTTGTAATAGAGTTATTACAAAGTGGCTTGTAATAGGTGTATTATAAGTTAGTAAGGGATTAAGAGTTTAATTCCTAGGTTGAATAGGTTGTAATCTGAAAGTTTCTCAGTAGTGAAGTTGAAATCTTACTAGGGTAGGTCATGGTTTTTAACCCTGTTGGATTGGAAAATTTTCACATAAAATTCCTCTTGTCATTTAACTTTTATTCTCTGTGTGTGTACTGTCGAACCTGATAGAGAACCTGGTTCTCTATAGAAGTTTTTGGACCCATACATTCTATCAATTGGTATCAAAGTAGGTTCTTTCTATTAGGTTAACAACTAGAAAGGATCCTCATAGCTGCTCCTACTAACTTCAAAGAAGGCCAGTCCACGTACAGACCTCCTAGGTTCAATGGTCAATACTATGGGTGGTGGAAAACTAGGATGCATGACTTCATCATGGCTGAAGACTCTGAGTTATGGGATGTAATATGTGACAGACCTTTTGACCCTACAAAGAACCTTGGTGATCCAGCTGTAGCCATTCCCAAGACGTGTAAAGAATTCGATGATGCTGATGAAAAGGCCATAGAAATGAATTTTTGAGCAAGGAAAATTCTTGTGTGTGGTATTGGCCCTGATGAATATAACGGATATGAGCTTGTCAATCAGCAAAAGAGATCTGGGAGGATCTTAAGATAGCTCACGAGGGAACAACTCAGGTGAAACAATCCAAAATTGATATGCTCACAATAGAATATGAACTCTTCAGAATGAAAGATGATGAATACATCCAAGATATGCATACTCGATTCACCTCCACTATCAACGAGCTTCACTCTCTTGGTGAAAGTATTCAAAGAACAAGCTTGTTAGAAAAATCCTTAGTGTACTGCCCAGTTCTTGGGAAAGCAAAGTTAACGCCATTACAGAGGCTAAGGACTTACAGACACTGACCATGGATGAACTCGTTGGAAACTTGAAAACCTATGAAATGAAGAAGAAGGTCAATAAAAGAAGAGAGCCCAAGAGAGAGAAGAAATTGTTCCTCAAGACGGACAACAATGACTCAAGTGGTGAAGTCGGGGACATGGCTTACTTGAAAAAAAGGTTCCAGAAGATGGTTCGCAAGAATGGAGGCATTCCAAAAAGAGGTAGCTCTAGCAAGCCCATAAATTATGACCTTTGTCATAAATGTGGCAAGCTAGGAAACTTCATCAAGGATTTCCCCCTCCTAAAGCAAGATCAGTATAATAATAACTTTGACAAAGCAGCAAAGATGAACCAGGTTCCTGACAAACGCTTCAAGAGAAAGAATGATGCTGACAACATTGTAAAGCAAGCTCTTGCTGCATGGGGAGACTCCTTCAGCAAATCTGAAGAAGAAGACGACCATAGTGGCAGTTCAATGATGGCAGTGAAAAATGAAACAATTGAGTATGATTCAATATTTGCTCTAATGGCTCAATCCGATGAAGATGAAGATAACGATGGCGATGAGGTAAACTTTCTGGATGTTCAGAGAAATCTGAAATCTTACTTTCCTATAAAGCTCATGTCATTAGCAAATGTGCTAATTGATGCTTACCATAATCTTATCAATGATAAAAATGCTTTAACTATGGAACTAGAGGAAGCTGAATAAACGAGAGATGACTTAGTAGTCATTGTAGTTGATTTAAAAGAAATAATAGATAACCTACAAATAGAAAAGAATGCCTTAGAAGAGAAAATTGCTAGTATAGAACATGAACGAGATGATTTAATGGTAGTTGTGGTGGACTTAAAAGAAACCATTGAGTGTGCAAGTAAAGAAAAGGAAATCTTGACTAAGAGAGTTGCTATCATTGAGCAAGAAAGAGATGACCAAGTAGTGGTGGTAGTAGACTTGAAAGAAATAATTAAGGATTTTATAACTGCAAATTGGCTTGGACACTCTGAAAAAGGAAAGGAAGTTGCAAGTGAAGCACACATTAAGCTTGAAAATGAGTTAAACTTGGTAAAAACTAGTCTATGTGCTGAACTTGAGAAAAACAAACAGCTGTAGGATGAACTAGGGAAAGTAAAGAGTGATTTTAGGAAATCTCTCAAATGGACTTGGTCCTCGAATTCTATCACTGCCATGTACACCAACTCTTAGGGAAACAGGCAGGGGAGTGGGTTTCAAAGGGAAAAGATTCCCTACAACTCTCATAGCAAGTATGTTATTGTACCCGACAATTGGCTATGTACCCACTGTGGCAACAATGGGCACCTTAAGGAAAATTTCATGGCCAGGGTTCAGTCTCATCAGAGAAATAAAGTCTTTGCTGAGAGAGCAACTACTACAAGAGGACCTGCTCCGTCAAATAGGAAACACATTTTGCCTGCTTGGACTAAGAGAGCACTCATTCATCCTTTTTCTCTTAACAAGGGACCCAAACTTGTTTGAGTTCCTAAATCTAAACCTTGATTTCTATTTGCAGGGAGTAGTGAAGGAAAGCAGCCAATAATGACACATGAACAGTGGTTGCTCAAAGGACAGGACTGGAAATACATTCAATCTTCCTTCACTAAAAATCCCTGCAAGGAGAGAGTGTACCCTTTTTAAAAATGGTTAAAAAGGGGGTAAGCTCTAGGAGTTGGAAAGTTTGTGCCGAAGGAAATAAGGTGGAATTCTTGTCCAGGATATTCACAATCTCAAATCCTATGACTGGTGAGGTATTGTTGTAGCCAAAAAACACAAGAGTACGTGAGTTGTTGTGATTGAGCTTCTGCAAAGTGGAGACATAAGTTGGTTGAAAGCTGTTGAAAACAATACTGAATCATGGGACAAAAGTCTGGAGCATTACACGATGTTTATCTCCAAACAAACTAGATTTGAAGAACCTGGTTCGTGATCTGATCAAGTTGAGTAACAAGTATTATGAGTGTGCACTACCTGTGCAAAAGAAAAGCATGTCAGATCTTCTTTCAAATCCAAAAAAGGGGGGCAGGCAGTTATTCAGAACCAAGGATGAGACCTTTCAAGAAACTGTATTTTTATTAAGAAGATCCAGGTACCAGTAGAAACAAACATGGATTGCATCAGACTAAAGCATGGAACAGGTTTAAATAATGCCATAAGTGGATGAATGCTATGTTGAAAGAAGAACTACTCAACTACTTAGCTCAAAGAACACCACCTCAGATAGAGTTGTCGAAAAAAAGAAAAGAGCTCTTGAAAATTTAGGCGTGGCCAATATTAATTGATGAAGGGTTTGCAAACATCTTGACTAAAGCTACTGACTCAAGTAAGGATATCTAGGTATAACTGTCATGTTCTCAACAATGGGAAAGGTCAGCCTTAAAAATCTGATGGTAGAAGAGATGGAGGAATCCTCCTGACATACTCGTCTCAAAAGAGAACAGAAATCCTAATCAAGGTAGAGAATGCCCATTGATTCCAGCAAGGAACTAGGTCCCATGTCTACAACAACAGAAGCTGAAAGACAAGCTGTTGGAAAGAGGGATTTTGCATAGAGACATCACTGAATCACTCATGTATCTCACTAAAAGTAGACTAGACATCGTGGTCAGAGTTGAGTTTTGTGCAGGGTCTCAGTCAAATCCAAGGTATTCTCATCTGAAGGATGGTGTAAGTATATTGAGGCTCAAGGAAGCAGAATTTAATGGCACTCTCAACAGCTGAAGCAGAATATGTATAATCAGCATCCTGCTCTGGTCAAGTACTATGGACCAAGCAACAAAGTGCTATGGACCGAGCAACAAACTAGAAGAACTTGAGTCCAACTCAAGAGGTCCAAATATAGTGATTGCTGAAGATCTAGTTGCAAACATATTCACCAAAAGTCCAGGGAAGAAAGCATTTTGAGAAAGATCACCTCGTACTAGGGGATGATGAAACACAACTGAGAACGTGGTTCCTCATTATTGGTTATGAAAGTTATATTCAGGTAAAAACTAGCTAAAGTGTTTTTTGGCTAAGCCTAACTCACCTCTATACCGTTATAGGTAGACACGCATGATGACTACAGAAGCAAATGATGCAGTGCATGATGAATAAGGGGATAAAACTCGCTTGCCAGACCTATCATGGAACCTAGTTCTCTAATGCAGGTTAGTGGTTTCCTTGTTCTTTCATACACAATTTAGAATGAACAAACAAAACAATGGCACATCATCATCAGCGTGACAGTCTCTTTAAAGTCGTGTCTCTTCATCCAATACGTCACAGCACCAACGTCACTCCTTTATCTATATGATACATCTCCCAAGAAAAAGGGTGCCGCTATTTCAGAGCATGTCCCTCATCATAATTAAATCATCATCACAACCCTTTCTCTTCCAAACTTAAAATTCCTGTTTGTCTTCTCTCTTCTCAAATCCACAGTCCCTCGAGAATAATCTCATCATGTCTGAAAATCAAGCAACCATTAGCATACCTGATAGCACTATGATTGAGTCCTCACCAGTGAGAAGTTCAGTGGTGAACATCTCTCCAAACCCTAAAGAAGAGTCTCCTCCACACTCCACTCCCTTTCCTACCCTCTCTGAGTCCACTCCTCCTCTAAGCAAGTCTGAAGATGTCTGTCCTCCTCCAGTCTCACCGTTCAAATAGAGTCAACAAGGTGAACAAAGGAACCTCGTTCAAGAACCTTCTACTCTATCCATGACTGAGCACTTGAGTGAAAAATGGGTGACTAGCCATGAAGAGTTTGAGATCTCCTGGACAAGTGAAGACTCTGAAGGCATCACTCCTTTGTCTATTGAAATAGCCATGGAACCACAATAAAAGGAGGAAATAGAGAATATGCTATCCATTGCGTCAGAAGGGGTCATTATAGAGGAATGTGAAGGAGGGTCTGAGCCACAAAGGGAAGAAATAGAAGAAGAGGGAGTAATTGTGCCCTTTGAACAGCCGGCACAAGATGATGCTACTGGGGCCCCAGATAATGAAGTTGATCCCTCCATGGAGAAGCCAGGTCAGGAGCCATCTTCCAGGTCAGTGTTGATCCTACTCCCTCTCCCCACTTCGAGGCTGAGCCTTTGAATATAGTGGTGCGTGAGATAAATCCTGACAGTGAAGAAGACGCAAATGATTTAGTGTATGCTAGTTTCATTAGGGCTATGACTAAGCTAGTGATAACTTCAGAACCACCTCCTAAGCGACCTACTACTCGGTTGCAGCAAAAGGAGGCTCTAGAGTTTGCCTTCAAGAAAAGTAAAAGGAGTAGAAGAAGTGGAAGGTTGGTCAAAGATGGAAAAGTTATACAAGCAGAGGATGTTCCTGTAGTGGATGTGAGGAAACCAAAGAGGAACCTAGTTCCCCGTCCCGCAAGTCTTCAAGAAAGAAGCACTCTCTCTCTCTCAATCTGAAAACACACCTCTAAGGGTGCTGAGAGTTCTTCTAAGAGTGATGTTACTGGTTCTAGAAAAAAGTTGGCAAAAAGTTCTAGTGACAAGATAGTGAAGAAGCGTGGTGACAAGTTTGATGAGGAAGAAGTGGAGAAATCTGGTGAACATAGATAGAGCAAGTCAGTGGAGAAAGAAAAGTCTATTGGCAAGTTAGTGAAAAGAAAGAGGGATGATGATGATGATGATGATAAGGAACCTGGTTCCGTCAAGAAAGGAAAAGTGAGTGAAACTCTGAGGTCTAAGAAAAGAAAGTTGGGGAATTAGAAAGTGTTGTGGGGCCGCACATTTGCCTCTGACATTCTGGAGAGTGATGGGATGAGACAATTGGTGGATATTTTTTATGCTCAATAGTGGACCAATTTGTTTACAAGTGAGGCTCCTATAGTGTATGAGGATGAGGTGTGGAGTTTCTACACTAACCTCTTCACAGTAGATGGTGATCAAATCTATGTGTTGGTAAATGGGGTGGACATAGTGATGGACTCTGCTTATTGGGGTTAATTCTGGGTGTTCCTGCCAAAGGAGTGTCATCTGCTCAGGATGCTTTCACACCAAACTT